CCAGGGCAGGTTCAAGTGAGGGAAGATTTATGAAGTGGCAAGGATGCAGATGCTGGCTTTTCCTGCTTCAAGGCCAGTGTAAAGAAGAAAAATAAATGGTCGGACCTAACCCACATAACCACTGAAGTTTTTATCACTGAGGCTAATAGTCATGAAACAAGAAAAAAAAAAAAAAGTGTCCAGTATTAATTGCTCTTATTCATTCTAAGTTAGTGGAAGAGCTGGGAAAAGAACCCAGGCACAGTTTAGTATACTCTGTGTCTACTGAATTGGAGGAGCTATTTCTTCCAATCCAACAGTAATCTGATTCCAACAAAGGGGGGGGAAGAGAGTGCGAAGCTGCAGAGGAGCCAGCTTTGGCCACACTGCTAGTCACACACACATTCTCTTAATTGGTTTCCACCCTTCAACACTGAAGTTAGCACACCAGTCACTTCCACATTCGCTGTGACGTAACACCCCAGGGTATTAAATATTACTTAAGACCCTAGCAGGCAACTGAAGACACAACAGCTCAAACAGATTCACCGTCTTAATAAATGATAAAAAAGTTTCCAAGCTGCTTTTGTACTGTAATTGATAAGGCTCGTGACTGAAAGCTCTGAAAGTTTGTTAACACTTCAGGTCTTATTAATGGCATACTTTACACCACGCAAGACTTGGTAAGCCTTGTTTTTCACTTCTGTGAACAGTTATAGACTAGATTATGCAGTACAAAAATTACACAGGATCTTCTGAAGAAAAGCCCCATGTTCTACCTTTGGATGTAGTATTATTGTGCAAACTGCTGTTCACAAAAAACAATTAAATATGTCACCACAATTCTTTTTTCTCTGTTAAAGCAAAATGGATGTCAAATAAAGCAATAGTCAGTCATGTTTCTGAGTAAGAAGGTATGTCAACAGGATATTCCAATGAAGAAAACAATATGTTTCTGAATATGAATGTAATTCTTCAATGCAATTAGCAATGTCAAAGGTAGTGCATGACATCTGAGAGCATTTTTTGTTTTAATCAAGGGATAGGATTTAAAAGTTCTCAACTCTTTTTAAACCTAAGTCTAAAAAAGGAGTTTTATTACTGCTAATCACTGCCTAAGGCGCTGTTTCTTCTGGACAGTAATTTTCCCTTAATCTATTAAGAAAAACTGGACTGGCAACACTGAAGATTAGTAACACATTAGCTTCCTGAAAGTAGTAACATGTCAAAGAACAGTTACTTCTTTGAATATTGTATGTATCTTTCATTAACACAATGGGAAATTCAAGTCCATTTTGAGATTTGGAAGATATAACAAGATTCCCCACCCGTGTTCCCCCTCCTCCCAGATACTTTAGCCATTGGAAAGCTGAGGTTTAGGTTTAGATTTTATATTTAGCATGCACAATAAAAAGCTAGTTTTACCTCAGTCTAGTTTCCGTTATCAGAAAAAATGTAATTGCAAACACTAAGTTCTTCTAAAAGGGGTTTTCTAAGCCCAGTGATTTAAATGATTTCCCAGAAGTAGTTTACAGAAGAATTTCACATCACTCTGAAATGAAAGAATTCACCCCCAAGGACCTTCCCATTAATAAAATAATTAGTTTAAAAAAGAAACAATAATAAATTAGAACACCAGATTTGGATCCTTATTTCCCTAGTTTAAACACAGGTGCCACCACTTAAACACAACGAGAACTGGTAAATCAGTTCTTTCCTATGTGTAAGCTTGGCATTTCTGTTTTAATAGTGGAAGGTTAAGAGTTATCCTTAGACAAGATAAAACATACAAAACTGGGTGTGTTACAATAACCATGGAAGCCAGCCTAAACTGGAAGCCAAGACTTAGAGTTATCCGTGCCGACTCTTACACACCCTTGGAGAACCAGTCTTCTAGAAGCGATCACCACCCATGTCATTTAGTTATCGTACACAGCAAGCACAATTTATGCTATTCATTGATCTTAATTTTCATTTGACATCAGATCTTCAAGCACATACTCAGCTATTTAACACTTCCCTCATATCACATGTCATTCTGTCACCTCCAGGTACGTGATCCCTGTCACATATGGGATGACACACCAGCAGGGTCCACAGTACAGGGGACAATTCTACTGCTGACAGTAACATCTGCCTCACAAGCGGTCACAGGACTGGACATCCGTTAATCGTGTGCTTGCTGAAGCACCACAGGCATATGCAGTTGAAAAAAACCTGACAATCTGGAATAAGCATTTGAAAGTGGTTTGGATTTTGTAAACCAGTCTCCCAACAAAAATATAGGGTTATTTGCTGGGTACATGCACATTTTAACATAACTACAAGCCACAGAAAATGCCTAATTTGAACACTCCTTTAGTTTGCTACTAAAATTTTTAAGTTTAAGAGGGTATCACAGCATTTCTATTGCCTCTTCCTGCAGACAATTTTCTGCATGGCTGAGTCATAACTAACATTACATCATCTTACCCAGGGAGGGGCACAATTTCCGTAGAGTAAGAACTACCTCTTACAACTAGAGCAGCATACTGAAGTTGCAGAAATCAAAGTGATCTAGGATACAAAGTGATCTGACAGAGAAGGGTGGAAGACCCAAACTTGTATCTAGTTTCAAAGATATGTTGATTTTTCACAATTATTACTTTACATACCATAATGTTTCAACACATCTCCAAATTCATTAGCATTCATAACTATGATGATTTGTATATAAATAATCAATACATTAGAGAGAAAGAAAAGTAATTTTTAAAACCCTGTCATTCAGAAATAGCATAGGAGACCACAGCTCTACTGACAGACTATAAGTAGTCCCAGAGGGCCCAGCACCATTTACCCTGCAACTCTAAGTAAAAATGGATCAACAGTTTCATTATTTCTCACCAGCACATCATTGCAGATGTCTCTTAGCTCAGTCTCAATTTTCTCTCTGTATTCTCGAGCCATCTGCTGCTTTTTCTCAGCGCCTTCCGTCTTTTGTTCAATACTTGAGACGACTCTCCAAGATGACCTACGGGCTCCTACAACATTTTTATAGGCAACAGAGAGAAGATTCCTCTCTTCATTGGACAGCTCGGCTCCTTGCTCAGTCACAGACTTCATACAACTTGCCATGTCATCATATCTTTCAGCCTGCTCAGCCAGTTTGGCCTTCTGCACCAGCTCATTTTTATCCATGCTGATATTTCTAAAGAGGAAAAATAGTGAGGCATTATTCAGACATTGATCAAGGACAAATGTGTTTTACTTTCATATGCAGAACAACCATTCTCCAAGTAGTTTGGAACTGTAAGAGGTACAGCTGAAACCCAGAACACAAGGCATACAAGCACTCAATGCTCAAACACACGGATACATGGCTTGAGGACTTTACATTACTGCTTCCTCCTGAAAAACTGTTAATTTTAATGTTATTACTTTAATAAATGCAAATAAAAGCATCCAAAGTTGAACTGAAAGCAAATCACTATCTTATGCACATAAATGATCCTAGTTCTTTGCCATCACTCTCTCCTAAGACCATGTTCAAGCTGCAGCATCAACTGTATCCAATTATCAAGATAAAAAAATTGACAAATATCCACTAGAAGTTTTTCACAGGAGACTGAATAAAGACTAGACAAACAGTACCAGGCAATTATCTGTGCCTTAACAGAATCTTACAGTTACACGCAGAAATACTTGGCATAGTGATCTGCAAATCAAATCCCACACTGGGTGTTAAAGTCAGAATGCACCAAATATCTAAATTTCAAGGTGTACACCCTTCAACAATGTTAACCCCCTTTCCCAAAATGGGATACAGCAGATGTTCTGAGCCAAAGTACTGCTGCTCAGCCCGAGAGGCTATGCTTTCAGAGACAAAAGGAACTAATATTTTTTAAATAGTAAAAATTTCAACATCAGTGTTTGAGATAGCATGACCTGGCTGACATGCTTCATAACCCACATCTTATCAACACTTTAAAAAAATAAAATCAAGCTCTGCTTAACAGCAGTATTGGGTTTGGTTGTTTTTTGTTGGTTTTGGTTTTCTTTTTTGTACAGCAGGAAAGATTACTCCTCGCTCACCCACATCCTTTCATGTACCCTGACGATCATTCTGAGGCCCTGGCAATGTGCTTTGGGATACAGAACCCTCTAAAGTTTGACTAGATTATTTCAATTTTGGTCATGCATGCTTTATATATTTCTGTATGTTCCATACACGACAGTCCAGCATCTTAACCTTTAACCATTAACCTTTTTGTTATTTTGCATGAAGCTACCACAAACAATAGCAGCACTATCTTCCATTTCGGGATAAATTAAGCACGTTTTATTCCAGGCATCTGAAGGGTAAAGTTTTAGTAGCTCCTACCCCCAGCACCGGAGAACAAACTCAGCAGCTTGTTCTGCAGCGTTTGCAAACGTGCGTTGGGAACGGGACCGCCCGGTGAACAGCGGGGTTAAGGAGCCATTTTAAAGCACGGTTTTAGCTACGGTCATGTATCACCCGGCGCGATCAGGACGAGCGCGGTTAAAAGGCCAGCTCCAGGGCCAGTCCGGCGGGCCGCAGGCTGCTGCGGCACCCTCCTCCCCGGGCCGCCAGGC